CCAGTGGAAATATATAAATTTTATGGTCACATTCTGCTACTGGAGCACCTGAATGAGCTTGTGAAGCATTCAAGTTAACCATGCTCCCTAGTTCAGTGAATGATGCCCTCATAATAGAGCTGCCCAAGGAAGGTAAGGATCTCCTCATTTCGACTCCTCACCACCCTGTTTCCCTTCTCAACTCAGATGCAAAAATTCTTGCTAACGTTTTGGCCAATAGGTTGAGCAAGGTTGTGAGGACTCCATACCATGGAATGTATTCCTTCTTCATCCACGGCCACCAATCTGAGAAGACTGTTTTTGAACCTACTACTCCTTGCAGACAAAGAGGGACAGAGAGACGGTTTTTTTCACTGGATGTTACTGGCCACCAATCTGAGAAGACTGTTTTTCAACCTACTACTCCTTGCAGACAATGAGGAACAGAGAGATGTTTTTTCACTGGATGCTACTGGCCACCAATCTGAGAAGACTGTTTTTGAACCTACCACTCCTTGCAGACAATGAGGGACAGAGAGACATTTTTTCACTGGATGATACTGGCCACCAATCTGAGAAGACTGCTTTTGAACCTACTACTCCTTGCAGACAATGAGGGACAGAGAGACTTTTTTTCACTGGATGTTACTGGCCACCAATCTGAGAAGACTGTTTTTGAACCTATCACTCCTTGCAGACAATGAGGGACAGAGAGATGTTTTTTCACTGGATGATACTGGACACCAATCTGAGAAGACGGTTTTTGAAACTACCACTCCTTGCAGACAACGAGGTACAGAGAGATGTTTTTTTTCACCGGATGCTACTGGTTACCAATCTGAAAAGACTGTTTTTGAACCTATCACTCCTTGCAGACAATGAGGGACAGAGAGATGTTTTTTCACTGGATGATACTGGACACCAATCTGAGAAGACTGTTTTTGAAACTACCACTCCTTGCAGACAACGAGGTACAGAGAGATGTTTTTTTCACCGGATGCTACTGGCCACCAATATGAGAAGACTGCTTTTGAACCTACTACTCCTTGCAGGCAACGAGGGACAGAGAGATGTTTTTTTTAACTGGATGATACTGGCCACCAATCTGAGAAGACTGCTTTTGAACCTACTACTCCTTGCAGACAATGAGGGACAGAGAGACATTTTTTCACTGGATGTTACTGGCCACCAATCTGAGAAGACTGTTTTTGAACCTATCACTCCTTGCAGACAATGAGGGACAGAGAGATGTTTTTTCACTGGATGATACTGGACACCAATCTGAGAAGACGGTTTTTGAAACTACCACTCCTTGCAGACAACGAGGTACAGAGAGATGTTTTTTTCACCGGATGCTACTGGTTACCAATCTGAAAAGACTGTTTTTGAACCTATCACTCCTTGCAGACAATGAGGGACAGAGAGATGTTTTTTCACTGGATGATACTGGACACCAATCTGAGAAGACTGTTTTTGAAACTACCACTCCTTGCAGACAACGAGGTACAGAGAGATGTTTTTTTCACCGGATGCTACTGGCCACCAATATGAGAAGACTGCTTTTGAACCTACTACTCCTTGCAGGCAACGAGGGACAGAGAGATGTTTTTTTTTCACTGGATGCTATTGACCACCAATCTGAGAAGACTGTTTTTGAACCTACCACTCCTTGCAGACAATGAGGGACAGAGAGACGTTTTTTTTCATTGGATGCTTCTAAAACATCCAACAGTGTTGAATGGCCATATTTATGGGGATTGTTGAGAATTTTTTGGTTTGGCAGACAACTTTATTCGGTGGGTGAAAATCCTTTACTCAGCTTCAAGGGCCGGTGTAGAGGTTAATGAGACCTTATCAGGTTTTTCTCTCCATCTCCATTTTTCTCTCCATAAAATGAGGCAGGGATTTCCACTCTCCCCGTTGTTTGCATTTGGCGGTGAAACCCCTGGCTACATCCATTCCACAATTGGATGGCATAATAAATAGGAGAAGGGAAAGAGAATACAAGGTGGCTTCCTATGCGGAGGATTTGGAGGTACATTTGTGCGCATTTACCCACAATTCACCTTATTTATAAAACACCTTCATTATACAACCACCAAAGTTTTGTTTATTTTTTGGATGGAGAGTGAAAGGATTAGACCTCTTGCCAGATTCTCACAGCAATCTAAGAGAGATTTCTCCTCATTTAAAGTTCCAGTGACATGGCTTGAAAAAAAAATGGAATTTAAACCAGAAATAATGATAATGATGATTTCTTTATAAATACTTAAATGCTTGGATTTCCATTATATTCAATGGTGCACCCTTCACGCAGGAGCAGGGGTCTTGACCATCCCAGAACTTCGCTGTTTTAACATCTCTACCCCCGCCAATATGCAACAATTCACACCTTCAGCCATGTACATCAAAGGATTATCACTTATGCAGACTTCTTGACACCAAGGATGGGATGGTGAATCTAAAACAAGATGGTTGCACAACTTTCCCACCTCCCATCCTATTCTTGGACTATCAACATCTACCTTGACCCATCTCATGGTGATTGGATTAAGATGTCTGTACTGTCTGTGTGAATATAAATGGAGAGGGACCTTCCTGACACTGACTGGAACTAAAGAAGAGGATTGGAGAAGCTACGGCCAGAACTAAAGAAGAGGATTGGAGAAGCTACAACTGGAACTAAAGAAGAGGATTGGAGAAGCTACTGCTTGAACTAAAGAAGAGGATTGGAGAAGCTACAGCTGGAACTAAAGAAGAGGATTGGAGAAGCTACGGCCAGAACTAAAGAAGAGGACTGGAGAAGCTACAACTGGAACTAAAGAAGAGGATTGGAGAAGCTACTGCTTGAACTAAAGAAGAGGATTGGAGAAGCTACTGCTTGAACTAAAGAAGAGGATTGGAGAAGCTACAGCTGGAACTAAAGAAGAGGATTGGAGAAGCTACAGCCAGAACTAAAGAAGAGGAATGGGGAAGCTATGACTAGAACTAAAGAAGAGGAATGGGGAAGCTACGGCTGGAACTAAAGAAGAGGATTGAAGAATTTACAACTGGATCTAAAGAAGAGGATTGGAGAAGCTATGGCTGGAACTAAAGGTGAGGATTGGAGAAGCTATGACTGGAATTAAAGAAGAGGATTGGAGAAGCTACGACTGGAACTAAAGAAGAGGATTAGAGAACCTACAACTGGAAATAAAGAAGAGGATTGAAGAATTTACAACTGGATCTAAAGAAGAGGATTGGAGAAGCTATAGCTGGAACTAAAGGTGAGGATTGGAGAAGCTATGACTGGAACTAAAGAAGAGGATTGGAGAAGCTACGACTGGAACTAAAGAAGAGGACTGGCGAAGCAATGACTGAAACTAAAGAAGAGGATTGAAGAATTTACAACTGGAACTAAAGAAGAGGATTGGGGAAGCTACGACTAGAACTAAAGAAGAGGATTGGGGAAGCTACGGCTGGAACTAAAGAAGAGGATTGGAGAAGCTATGACTGGAACTAAAGAAAAAGATTGAAGAATCTACGACTGGAACTAAAGAACTAAAGAAGCTAAGACTGAAACTAAAGAAGAGGATTGGAGAAGCTATGAAACAACTTCAACATTACAGAACAAATCCAGTTGAATGTGAAGAACTCCTGCTAGATGTGCCATGAATTGGATAGATGAGAACCTTCACAGACATCTCTTCTCTCCCTCCCCTCAGACTTTTCTTTTATTGTTACAGGTTATTAAAAAGTTTGATTGTCCACCCAGTGAGTAATATAAAAAGTGTCCATACAATACAAATTACAAATCTTGAACACCTCTTAGAACAAATCCAAAGGAATATTTCCTTTCTTGAATTAAGGGTAAACGGTGAACATTTAGGACCATGTCATCAGAAAGCCAGGACTTTTTTATTAGTTTGGAAATCATGAAGAAGATTGGCAATGAAATCCAGGCCTGGACATCTTTCAACCCTGGAATTCCAATCAGGATGAAATAAGAGGAGCTCAGATTATTACCGCCAGACGTCATGACTCCAAGATGTCCAACATGTCCTCTTCTAATGTGTGACAAAATCAGGAAACACGTTAGAGATTCCTCTCCACCGAGATAAAAACTATTCTCAGCACACAAAACATATGAAAAAGAGGTTCCACAGATATTAGGAATACCACATAGCTGAAATAAGTTTATCATCTCAGTTCAACTGTCTGTTTTTCCTATATTAATCCCTTTATTTGAAATATTAATAACAGACAATTGTTCCTAATGCTGGCACTCTTGATATCCATAAAGGATTCTGGGTGAACTGTCATTTAGGGTGAAATGTCTCCATTAATGTCTTCAAGAATATAGAATCCTTGGAATTTGTATGCCATCTTATTTGTGTGGGTTTCCTGTGAGTGATGTCCTTTGCATCCACAACCTGAGCCTGAGACTGACAGAAATGATTCAGCGATCAGTGAAAGTTTAACTGTCCACCCAGTGAGTAATATAAAAATGTCCATACAATACAAATTACAAATCTTGAACACCTCTTAGAACAAATCCAAAAGGAATATTTCCTTTTCTTGAATTAAGGGTTTTCCATGGAGAATGGTAAACATTTGGGGCCATGCCATCAGAAAGCGAGGACCTCTTTCTTAGTTTGGAAATCAGAGGTCATATAACCGCATACTGGAGTCTAGTGAGTATATTGAAGGTATAGAACATGGCAACATCACGGTGACTAACATACCTCCCCAAAAACTTTTAATTACTTATGGCATTAGCAACCAATCAAAAATACTACTTTTTCATAGCTCTGATTCTGCTCAGTTGATGAAAAGTGATTGGTTGCCATATTTATCTGCATGTGACGGCTCTGTCTTTATGTGACGGCTTTGTCTTTATGTGATGACTCTGTCTTTATGTGACGGCTTTGTCTTTATGTGCCGAAATCTGGACTTTTGTGGACAAAATACTTTCAAAATGTTTCTCTTGATTTCTTTGGTTTTTATTCCATATATTATTGGGTTCAGCATTGGAGGAACAATTAGATATAGGCTAGATATGATGACTTGGGTGGAAGAAGCGGTTTGCCCCCAAAGCCTTTGAGTGACAACGGAGAAAAAGTGCTGGGATGTAAGCCAAAAGAATGACACAAACATGGCTGACACATGTACTCCCCGAATTTGTGTCGGGCCTCTCGGGATGGGAGATTAAAGACAGTAGATACAATAATTAAATATGACACTGTAACACCCATTACATCTACTCCAGCTACAAGCAGAGCGACTACTAACCCATACACAATATTGATTCCAATGTCTGCACAGGCCAGCTTAGCCACGGCAATGTGCTCACAATATGCATGCTCAATCGTGTGGCTTTTGCAAAATGGCAACCTCTTAACCAGGAAAGGATGTGGAAATATCAGAAGAGTTCCTCTCATGGCCACCAACACTCCAATTTTTGTGATCAATGGGTTGGTTAAGATGGTAGAATATCTCAGTGGTTGGCATATGGCAACATAGCGATCAAAGGCCATAGCTAAGAGGACAGAGGAGCCCATGATGGAGAAGGAATGGACGAAGAACATCTGAACCAGGCAACCCTCAAAGGAGATCTCTTGGAGGTTGAACCAGAAGAGCAGGAGCATCTTGGGAACGGCAGCACTGGACTGGACAAGGTCTGCTAACAACAACATGGAAAGGAAGAGGTACATGGGCTGGTGGAGGCTCTTCTCTGTTTTAATGGTAAACAGAACACTAATATTGGCCAACAAGGTTATCAAGTACATGGAGAAGATTGGCAATGAAATCCAGACCTGAACATCTTCCAGCCCAGGAATTCCAATCAGGATGAAATGAGAGGAGCTCAGATTATTACCGCCAGACGTCATGACTCCACGATCTCCAACATGTCCTCTTCTAACGTTACTCAGTGTGACAAAATCAGGAAACACGTTAGAGATTCCTCTACATCAAGATAAAAACTATTCACGGTACACGAAACATGAAAAAGAGGTTCCACAGATATTAGGAATACCGCATACCTGAAATAGGTTTATCATCTCAGTTCAACTGTCTGTTTTTCCTATATTAATCCCTTTCATGGAAATATTAATAACAGACAATTGTTCCTTATGCTGACACTCTTAATATCCATAAAGGATTCTGGTGAAAACCGTCATTTAGAGTGAAGTGTCTCCATTAAGGTCTTCAAGAAAATAGAATCCTTGGAATTTGTATGTCATCTTACTTGTGTGGGTTTCCTGTGAGTCATGTCCTTTGCATCCAAAACTGAGCCTGAGACTGACAAAATGGTTCATTGATCTCCGTACAGCACTATGGAACATGTCCGAGCTATATAAATGTATCATAACAATATTAGTGTGTGTTTGTGATGGGAAATTCCAGTGTAAGCTCCTCTGGTAAAGAGACTGATGGACCGTGGGGGAGGGGACATTAGAGCGTAAGCTCCTCTGGTACAGAGGCTGATGGGACTGTGGGGGAGGGGACATTAGAGTGTAAGCTCCTCTATACAGAGACTGATGTGACTGTGGGGGGGGGACATTAGAGCGTAAGCTCCTCTGGTACAGAGACTGAAGGGACTGTGGGGGAGGGGACATTAGAGCGTAAGCTCCTCCAGTACAGAGACTGATGTGACTGTGGGAGAGGGGACATTAGAGCGTAAGCTCCTCCGGTACAGAGACTGATGTGACTGTGGGGGAGGGGACATTAGAGCGTAAGCTCCTCCGGTACAGAGACTGATGTGACTGTGGGGGGGGGGGACATTAGAGCGTAAGCTCCTCCGGTACAGAGACTGATGTGACCGTGGGGGAGGGGACATTAGAGCGTAAGCTCCTCCGGTACAGAGACTGATGTGACTGTGTGGGGGAGGGGACATTAGAGCGTAAGCTCCTCCGGTACAGAGACTGATGTGACCATGTTGGGGAGGGACATTAGAGCGTAAGCTCCTCCGGTACAGAGACTGATGTGACCGTGTGGGGGAGGGGACATTAGAGCGTAAGCTCCTCCGGTACAGAGACTGATGTGACCGTGGGGGGGGGGGACATTAGAGCGTAAGCTCCTCCGGTACAGAGACTGATGTGACCGTGGGGGGAGGGGACATTAGTGCGTAAGCTCCTCCGGTACAGAGACTGATGTGACCGTGGGGAGGGGACATTAGAGCGTAAGCTCCTCCGGTACAGAGACTGATGTGACCATGGGGGAGGGGACATTAGAGCGTAAGCTCCTCCGGTACAGAGACTGATGTGACCGTTGGGGGAGGGGAGGGGACATTAGAGCGTAAGCTCCTCCGTACAGAGACTGATGTAACCGTGGGGGAGGGGACATTAGAGCGTAAGCTCCTCTGCACAGAGACTGATGTGACTGTGGGGGAGGGGACATTAGAGCGTAAGCTCCTCTGTACAGAGACTGATGTGACTGTGGGGGAGGGGACATTAGAGCGTAAGCTCCTCTGTACAGAGACTGATGTGGACTGTGGGGGGAGGGGACATTAGAGCGTAAGCTCCTCCAGTACAGAGACTGATGTGACTGTGGGGGAGGGGACATTAGTGCGTAAGCTCCTCTGTACAGAGACTGATCTGGGACTGTGGGGGGGGGGACATTAGAGTGTAAGCTCCTCTGGTACAGAGACTGATGTGACTGGCTCAGTGATCTCTGTACAGCCCTGCAGTATATGTCAGATCTATATAAATGTATAATAATAATATTGTGTGACTGTGGGGGGACATTAGCGTACCCCTTTTTTTGAAAACAATATGTTTGGCACTCTGCCATAATAAATCTCCACCAAATTTCAGTTGTGATTCCTACTCTCCTCCACCCTGTAATATGCTTTCCATCTTTACTTCTTTTCTTTCTCCTTAAATTCCTTTACTCCTCTTCTCCACCCCACAGCCTATATAAAACCCCCTCCCCTCTGTCCATGACCATTTCATCTCCAACTCCTTTACCCTTGTTACTGGAACCTGGCTTCAGGAATCTGCCTCTTCCTCTGCCCTCTCCCATGGTGTCCTTGTGCATTGTGGGGAATGGCGGGCGTGAACAGTCCGCCGAACGCCCTTACTATTCGTGTGTTCAGCCAACACATGAACGGCCCATGAAACATGAAGCCCATCTCTACCTAAACACAATGGACACACATGTCTACTCGCTTTGATGGTAGCTCCCTCCACTTTGTATTCTCCAACCTCTGAAACCTTCACCACTTTAACCCTTTTCTTCTCTATGTTGCCGCTGACCACCTCTAGGACAAAATATGGCACCTCTGTCCTGCCCATCTGACCCCGGTCACTTCTCGTTACAACATACAATACAATATATTACTTCAATTATTCCATAGGCCTGGACATAAACCCAGCAATATTTTGCTGCTCTATCACCACTATCGTATCCCAGTCTGTAGAAGTCTAAGGGAGGGATCGTTTCTCACCTCAGAGTGTAATGGTGGTCAGAGTACACAGGTTGTCACCTCTTCAGATATTCTTCATTAATGGATGATGTCTGTCATTATAAAGGTTGTGTGATCCTCTGGGGACCCGCACAGCGGACAGGAGAGTGACATTGATGTCAGATCATTTCATTATAATTACCGGGCAGATCACTTAAGAGTCACAAAGAGCAGCTGGGGCCTTCACCTGGATCATGTGTTCCTCTCTATGTGTGTCTGTCAGAAAGAATTCTAATTTCTTCTCTCATTGTGACCACATTTACAATATAATATAATACAACATACTATACAATATAATCATTCAATTGTTCCATAAGGCTGGACATAGCCAGCATCAATATTTTGGAAGGGAATACTCTACTTGCTATAGAGATCGGTGAGACAATGGGAAATCTACAGTATTTTGGCAATCCATGATGGGAATCCATGCTACAATGAGACCATTTTTTCTGGTCGTTATGTGACTCTCTAACCTTTTGTGGCCCTCAATGGTAAAGAAATAAAATTGAAGAAGGCCTCATAGGTTCTTCAGCTGATACATCATTTGGCAGCTTAATACTTCAGGAACTGGTCATCTTTCTTGTCCAAGTTTGTAAGTAGGAGTGAGTGAGTCTGGCAAAATTGGTGTAACACTCTCCAGGTTAGCCAGATAGCTGTTTGTTGGTTTTTTAGGCAGAGGATGAGTAGCAGCCTGGGATGAGTCAGCTTGTGAGTGAGACAGGAGTTCACCTCAGGACAGGCTGGGAGGCAGTAACAGGTCAGGGCTTTTAGAGACCTCAGACTCTTCCAGAAACTTAGAGAAACTTCTGGACGAGGGGTGGAGGAGGGGAGGAGGCCCAGATCTGCATGTTTGAGGGACCCTGGCCAATCACCTGGTGTCAGGGACCGCTGCGGCGCCTTCCCCGGTGCACACGCACTAGCGGCGGTTCGCGCCGGGATACAAGCACCAGGTCCCGGCGGGGCCGCGGCTAACAGGAATCCGCGCATGCGCAGTAGGAACCGCGGGCGCGCACCCTGGGCGGCCAATGACAGCCAGGGGCGTGTCCTGGGCGGCCAATGACAGTGCAGGGCGCAATATTTAAAGATGCCCTGCACTGTCACAGGTTGCCGCAAGGTCTGATCTGTAACCTGAGTTCCTGTGCCCTGTGATTGTTGACCCGGATTGTTTGACCTCTCTGCCTGCTCCAGCTCTGACCCGGATTGTTTTGACTATGCTGCTTTCTCCTGAGTTTGACCCGGATTGCCCCTGACTACGCTGCCTTCTCCTATCCTGACCCCCACCGGCTTGTTTGACCATTCTGCGGACTGACTACATTACTGACCCTGCGTGTGACCTGACAACTCTCTGCCTGCTGACTCTGTACCTCGCCGTCCCCCACGGTGACAACCACCTGTTTATCCTGCCTGGTCCTGCTGGCCTCCTCACATCTGGCTCTCTTCTGGTGTACACACATCCCCGGAGGTTCCCTCTGCCACTGGTGGGATTGCTCGGAGGTCGTGACCTGGTCCTGGTTCTGCTCCAAGTCCATCCCCACCATCAGGGGCCCTGGTGAAAACGCAGACCGGGACTTAGACTCCACGCTTCGGGTAATCCTGTCAAGTGGGCTGCCAGAGGCACCACCTGGTGGATCCGTAACACCTGGCAGGAGGCTGAGCATGGTGTCCAGGGCAATGCTCAAAAGTGGCAGAGCCTGTGCAGCAGGGTTAAGTGCCGGGTGGAAGGTGGAGTGAGGAGCTGGAGTGTGGAGCCTGGGAGGGTCCTAAGGGAAGTGGCCTACCTACAAGCAGTTGCTGGAGAAGAGGATCTCCACTGTGGCACCGTCTCCAGGGGAGGACATCCTGAACACCAGGGAAGGAGCCAGCCCAGGAAAGGACCTGAATGAAGCCATCAACCCAAGAAAGGACAGTGTGAGTACTCTTGAACCCCCTGGGCTGGATAAGGGGAGAGGGCAGTCAGGTGGAAAACCCAACTACAGTAGCTTCTCATCTGGGACTGCTGCATTAAATTGTTAGTTTCTGGGCTCCCTTGCCCAGAGAATACCCTCAGGTAGCTGGGAGAAGAGGAGGATTCATCTGGGGTCTGAGGAGGTACACCAAAGAGCTTTGGATGCTCTAAGAGGAGAGACTATTTCTGTCCACATTTTTGTATATAGTTGCTCTAAGTTGTCCTTAGTTCCCTTGGGGATTCCATATACCCCTCAACACCAAGTTCCTAAACCCCTTAATAAACAATGAAACCAAGCTCAAGAACTGCTTACTGTCTCCAGTGTGCAAAGTGTGAAAAAAATGTGTTTTTGCCTGGCTGTGTAGAGCTTTAGGGGG